TATAATAATTAATGAATATTGCTAAAAATGTAAACGTTAACTTACCACAAAAGCCTCCTTTAAAATAATTCCAAAACTTGACGAAGAAAAAAATTACATAAAAAATGCTAACAAATAATAAGGATTTTGCTTTATAAGGGATTGAAAAAAAAAAAGAAAAAATAATAGCTTGATAACATTTATAAAAAGATAATTAAAATTTTATGATACATATAAGCGAGTAAAAAAAATAATACTATAAAAAATGGAAATGTTCGAATATGATTCTGTAATAAGCTGCATAACATTGTTAATGTAATACTTTTTTTAATATCTCTATTACATTTATATAAAGTATGTATATGTATGTATATATATATATTTATTTTACAAATTTATAATTTTCATTTATCTATAGAAAGTTCAACAATACTCCGTGACAATTAATTATCAACATGAAGATTTTCACTTGCATTTCCTTAACTTATTGCATTTTGATTTGAACAAGTTATTTTGCAGCACCTTGCCAGATCCTTAAGGTAAAAAAGTATATTCACTTATCTATTGACTAGTTAGGACAAAGATAGATTTATATCTATCATTAACTTACACAGCAATGAAAAATGCACAAGGAGTTGATGGTATTATTCATACTTAAAAAATAAATAAATTAATTTAAAAGAGAAAAAAAAATATATAAAAAAAAGGAGTTTAACAAAAATTGCATACACGTAATTATACAAGTATCATCTACAAAATGGTAGTACATAAATAGATTTAAAATATTAAGAGTAATAGTGACACGTGGAATGATATAATTATTAATATTATTCAATATATCTGTCTAATTATTTAATTAGTAATTAAGGAATGCACATTCGAATGCGATTCCCTTATATACTTCCATCTCACTATTTCATTATCCAATTATATATCGGTCAAATGAATTATTACCAACAAACACAGTCTTTCACCCTGTTGTACTGTACGATAAAATATTTGTATAAATTGTTAATCATTTTTTTTTTCGTTTTCTTTTTGTTTACAGAAATTGATCTTATAAAAAAATACTTACATACTAAAGTGTGATTTTAAAAATATCTTCATTTATGCACAGCATATATCATATTTACAAGTGCATCTTGTTCTTTCATTCAAATCCTTGGTAATGATCACTTTTATCAAAATTTAGGAAGGATATAGATAAAATTGTACAAATGATACAATTTGTCTACATTTTGTGATATGCATTATATAATAAATAATAATAATAATATAGATTAATAATAATATTAAAAACCTTCCTTCCTAATTTTGACAAAATTACAATAACTTCTGAGATCTTGAAATAATCAAAAGAGTTTTCCAGAATTCTTTTTCATTAAAGAAGTGCTTATTTTGTCGCACTATTTCTATTATATTTTTTTATAATAGAATCTCATATAATAAAAAAGAATTCAGTGAATGTGAAACAGTGTACATGGTGACTATACAGCGACATTGAATGGATAAATGGATGGATGTATGGATGGTGGCTAGGTCATGAAATGAAGAACAACAGAATGCATTTAATGAGCGATTGTTTATTATGTTCTTATGATCACTTGTCATACAGGTAACGATGCTTTTCATGAATGAAAATAGTTAATATATTATGTTTATTTATAATTATTTAACATTGAATGTGGAATAAATTGATGATGAAAGAATAACAATTTAATGAGTGTAAATAAATGTTAGCGTGTAAAGTAATATTAGGAATAAATTTAAAGTGCTGTGAATTAATTTTACTTCGTTGATAACAATAATGGTGTCCAATAGGTAATGTTAGGACATCTAATTAACAACAACAACAACAAAAAATCTAGAAAGATCGTATCTAACAAATACAACCAAATGTTAATAAATAGAAATAGAAAGAAAAAAAGAAAAAGAAAGATATTAAATTAAGAAAATCTCACAAAATTTTTTTAATAATTTGTGAAAATTTGTTTATCATGACACTTTATAACAATTTAGAATAAAATGTTGTTTTTAATGTCATTTAAATATCCTCTATGTGGACACTTATCGCATCATCGGTAAGAATACCGTACTATTAAACGTTTAAACAACAAATGCATATAGCAAAGTTGTCATTCACTTCGTTACATTTCTAACTTGCCATTGTTACTTGAAACAATAAATGTTACAAGTCCTCGCTTAATAAATATATCTTTAACCAATCATACAAAGGTACATTTGATGAGATACTAAGAAAGTAATAAAAAATAACATTGCATTTGTGCTTAATACAATAGCATTTGGAAAGAAATTGTCAAATGTGGAACAATATTAGCGAATCTTTTTTCTTTTATAGTATAATATATATATATATATATAACTTTGTTAGGTTTTCAAAAATTATTGTTGCCAGGTCATATATATATACATATATGTATGTTGTGTGTATGCTTGCGTGTATGTACGTGTTTATGTATATATGTATTAATATATATATGTATATATATATCTCTTTATATACATATTTTTTTTAATAGCACATTAATGCTCGTTTGCCTGATTTTCTTTTCAACAGTTTAATTATACGTGCGTTCAATGATTTTCAATTGATTTCTCGAAAATGTTGTTAATTCTATTCCTTTAAAGCGTATTTTTTTACGAAGAACCTGTTAGTATAAGTTAATAGTAATATTAGTTTTATCTTTCCATACTCAAAGGTAAATTTCAGTTATTTCTGAGAAAGAAAGACTGAAATATAATATTAAAAAATACTATTTTGCTCACTGCCCGCAATGCACCATTTTATATTCTGATCGAGTGAAACTGAGTGTAAAGTGTATAATAAGAGCATAAATGATGATTAGAAGAATGTGTGGTGTATTTGCCTAAATGTGCAGCATAATTTGTAATGCGGTAAACATATGAATACGCAAGATTGTGTCCTTAAATTACTTTATAGCCAGAGGAATGTAAGATACAATACTTGATGATCGTATCTCATCAGTATAATGAATGAATATTTATGGTACCTCTGCAGCCAGCTGCTCTTATATTTCAGATATTGTGGAAGATAATTTCTATTTCTAAATCGGGATAATAATTAAGGTGTGAACATATAAAGGTAAAGCACAATGTCTTCGCACTGCATAATGTGTGGAATCTTCTCTACTTGCATGTAGGCGTGTGAATTTTTGACACCGTTCGAGTGTTGTTAATGTTATCTTTGTATATGTATGATCGATTTATGAATGTGACTGTGCACTTATGCGCATCTGTGCACTTGTGACTTAGCAATATAACTACTTATATTCAACAAGGTACTTAATATCTTTTTTTTATCCCCGAGCTGCTATGTGCTACTTCTACCTCAACAATAACGATCTTCTTCAATTTTTTTTTTTTTTTTACATATGCTTACCCAAAATAATATACCATATTAATACTCTAAATCTAATTCTCACTTCCAATAAAATAACATTACATACAATTTTGTACAATCCTTTCTAAAGTTTTTTTTTTTTTTTTATAATGCTCCTGTTATCCAGATAAATTGCGTCTCAATAACATTCTCTTTACGAAGTTTTGCAATGTTATAATAGTGATAATGAATCATGACAACAAAATTGATGATATGAAAAATATTCCACATCTTGTGTGCACTGCTGTTTTATATATATCGACCAAAGATATTAATTATATATATTCAATTTCGATTAAATTTAAGAAATCAAACTTTACTTGTAAATTACAAATAAATGTTATATAAATTAGGATATTTTTTATAATAATATATTTAATAAAGAGTATTAAATAATCGATTTGTCTAATAATTTTCAAATTTGGTCAGCATATAGTTTATCATTGTAAATTATACACAAAATAGCAATGCACAACACTATAACAACTCTGTTTCTAATAGAGCATCTATCAAAGTCAATTCTGTGTAATTTATGCTTAATATAATTTAATAATTTCTCTTTGCATTATACTAAATACATTCCAATTATTGTTACACTCCTTTTACTCTATTGTCAATCAATGTAATTCAATAAATGATTTTTTTTTGTGACACTTTCTATTATAATTCTTAATATAATAAATCTTAATGTAATATTAGAATTTATATTCATATTTATTTTCATGGCTAAAATCAATTCTTTGCCTTATTTTATTTTAAAATTCAATCATAGTCAATATTTGCAAGAAATGGCAGTAAAGTAATCTTTCAAAAAACGATAATAATAATAATAATAATAATAATAATAGTAATAATAATAATAGTATTATTAAAGATGACTAAATGCAACATTTCTTTCGATAAAATAATATTAATAATTGCAAATAACCAATTAATTTTTTAAATAATATAAATTTTCACACATAAAAGAAACGATTGTAGGCCTTTGTCATGATCTCCATTTGTATTTTTTTTTTGGTCATAAACTATTGTTTTAGTTCATTAATTTCATTGAACGTGTCATTTTTAACATATATATTTATGTATATATATATATATATATAATGAATTAATATTATTATATTATTTAAAAACAAATTCACGCGTATTGTATGTTTGAATGGAAACAAAAAAAGGAAAAATAAAGAAAAAAAATATGGAAAAGAATCGACAAAATAATTGCTGAGTTAGATCATTATGATTTTATACATTTTTCAAAAGAATAAACAATAGCTGTACAATTTTTTTGTCATAATCAAATTTCTGTCTAAACGTTTCATTATTTACAATTATCATGTACATATATATGTAAATATATATATGCATACATAGATGTGTGCACATATATATATATATGCATATGTATATGATAATTGTATATATATTTCCATGAAAATTAATATCGTTACACTTTACATGATTTATTAAGCCTTTGAGTGCTATAAACGCATATATGCGTTTGTCGATATGAATGCAAAGATAATTACCACGATAATATTAATAATTGAAAACTAATATTTTGTGTATAATGCAAACTAAATGATCATCATATAAAGGTATTTTTATAATACTTTGTAACAAGATTTTCTATATAATGAGAAATAAGTATAGTCCGACTTTATTCAAAACAATCTGCACTTTGGCAGAATATACACATCTTTAACAACACGTTCTACTGTCAAGTGTCAACAAGTGTGGCTGATGGTGGTATCAATATGGCACTAAAGTGATTGGATGGAACACAAATGTAATGCAGAAATTTTTCTGGTATCAAATATTTGTTAATTTTGTTCAGATACTTACTATGTAACAATAAAATATTGTTAGATATTTGTTTTCTTATAAAGATTAATGTAATCTATGCGAGAGTGGAGTGATGGATGATGGAGCATGATTCAGGATGTAGCCTAGCACACACAGCCAAGTAATGTGACACGTATGTCATCTCATGAGATAACATGTGTCAAATTCAATTATAGTTACTGTAACAATAGTCATATTAGAATCGAGGCGAGTCAATGCAATTCCTACAGTTCCCTGATTACTACACTACATCTCCTCGTGCGAGAGCATAATTATTTACTCACTCGGTAGATACTTCAAATATTTCATCCTTATTAATTAAAATGTTGAAACTGTAACTGTAATTTTATAAGAGATTTAAGAGACTACCTACACACCTATATCTAATAATTTTGTATAACTAAATATTACGACACAGACAGAGATCATGTCGCATAGTTACTTATTGAGTTAGTGGATGAAATATTTTAAACTGTACAAAAACAAAGTGTTACATGAAGTAAGACTCATCTAAGATCAACAATGACTGCCGGCTCATGGATACAACACTGAATTCTCCTTTAAACAACTCGTAGGTAACTGGTCGGCGAACCAATACTGTTTTGCCACTTCATGTACATTGTTATTGCCTTTTATTTCAAAAAATAACTGTACATTGTAGAGCCAATTAGATATTAGATTAGCATCTAATGATATCTTTATAATTGTTATCTAAATGTAACTAACATCTAAATGTTAGTATTATGAGAATCATTTAACAAAATATATACCGATAATAGAAAGCAGTTATTACTTGTACTATATGCCAGTGGCACAAATTGAGGTACTTAGAAAAGACTCTAGTCACATCCACTTTTCTATGCGATTGGACAATTCTTCACTATATGCAACTCTGATTTCTGTACAGAATTTTACACTTCGGCATTATTTAACACTCATCACACCTTAATAAATGTAGCATTGAAGAAGTACTTACTATACATTCATTTGATTTACGTACACATGCAAATATTGTCACATATGTAGAAAGAAGCTCCATTCTTGACTTCTCCTTGCCGTTGAACTTTTGTAATCCATCAAGTTATTTTTCCTGCGCAAATAAATTCTACAGTTTTAAACGCTTAATATAATTGTGGCATTTTCATGTACTGGCTGCTTGGTAAAAATATCCCTTTATCAACTCCATCACAGCTAGTCTTAAACATATTCTGTCCTACTAAGGAATGTGTTAGCTTGACAAAATCTACAACACATGATTTTATGCTACCCACAAGTTGTTTTACATAGAGACATATACATATATATATATGTATATATATATATGTATATATTGATTCAATAATTAATTTAACCTTTCAAAAAAAAGCTAATACATAAAAATATGTTTTTTTTTGTTACTACTTATTATTATAGTGTGATATTATGAAGCAATAGTTATTGGAATATAACGAGTAGAAAAAATTTGTAATGATTTGTAAACTTTGTTTATCTAACAAAATATCCATTTTAATCGATAAAAAGAGTTTAATTGAACGTTAAAAAATGATATTCCTTCTTTTGTTTGCAATTATTGACATTTTTTAAAAATAAATTCTCATTAATTTTATATACCGGCAGTCAAAAGTAAGAAAGAAGGAAAACTTGTATATAGAGATTTAGAAAAAAATGAAAGTAAGAATAGTAGCGTAAAATTAACGATAACCAATGACAGATATAATATAATGACGTGATGATAATTAGTAAAACATTACTATGATAGATAATTAATATAGAGAAATATTATGCTGCCAATAATATAAATAGCATTGGAGCTATTAAAATATAGAGACTAATTCACAAATTAAATTAATGCTATAAATTACATTTATGTATTCTATATAGAATTTTTATAACAGTTCTATCTACAGTAAACTAATGTTTCTTTTTTTTATTTTAAATTTTATGGTGCCTGTTTATCGTCTTTAATGCATTTGGGCAACACAGTAATGTTAAATCGACAGTACACATAGAATTTATGGTTAAACATAAACCTGTTTTCATTTGCGGACGCAAATATTTTATCAACAATATTATAATATCATTTCGCTATCTATAATAATGTGTATGTGTACGTGTTTGTCGTGGTGTCGTGTATGCATAATATATGCGTGAATACGCGATCTTCTCATTTATATCTCAAATAATATGAATTCTCTTTTTATTTAATTTTTTTTTTTTTTTTCAATAATCTATGTCAATCTCTTTATGTATATATATATACGCATCTTTATATATATATATATATTTATATATATTTATATATATTTATATATAGATATATTTCTCTCTCTCTGTAATATATTATTATTTTATCATTTTTCTTTTTTATTTTTGTTACTGTTATTATTCATGTTATGCGATATTTATAAATATACAAGTCATTATTTTTAAGAGTGGTGAGCCAGCGCCTTCCAGCTATGAATTGTACTGATGTACACTTATACATTTCATCATTAGACGCTACAGCTAAATAATTTTAATCGCTAGTTTTTCTATATCCATTATTAATTAACCACCTATCTTATATCACCCCCTTCCTATTACCTACCCGCAAAGATAAAGTGATTTTAAATGTCAGTATTATTCTCTTTTATAAAAGAGAAAATACAGACTGCATTCGATCGAACACCACCATATTGAAACAAGAGTTTCAAATAGTTTTTTTTCTATATATTTTCTTTTTATTTTTATTTTCTCCTTATTAAACAATGACCCCCGTTCCGTTTAAAAAAACAGGAATTTTAATTATGGGTCTGCTTTGAGTTTTGCTCAGATTTAATACGAATAAATTTGACAAGATTCTACATAAACTCTGTCATACAGATCTCAGGAATGTATGACGTGATTGTATTTCACTCTCGTATCTAAGAAACTTATATAATTTTTTGATAATGCGATGATGAATTGAAGTATGCATATATGTATGTATGATGTATGTGTGTATCTATGTATGTATTTATGTATATGACATAATTCCAATCAAATAGCAAATGTTTTTATATAAAAAATTGTATGTAGTGAATAAAAGCAATGTTATCATATAACAATAATTTGCGTAAAAATATACGCACAAAATATTTTTACAATGTAGATAATGTATAATGTATGTATTTATGTATGTATTTATTTATGTGTTATCATGTTAGCTCTATTTAGTACTACATTGTTAGATAAGATGAAAATTTTCTAGCAATATATATTAAAATTTAGGTTCATATTTAATTAGTACATATATATATATATATATGAAAATTAAAGATAATAATATGAGTGTTTAATATGATAATATTTATGTAAGAAAAAAAAAAGAAAAAAAAAAGAAAAAAAAAAGAAAAAAAAAGAGAAAAAAAAGAGGAAACAAGGAACCACCAACTGTACAGTTAAACTATGGAAATGTTTGTTATTACAATAAGAAAAGAAATTATTTAAATGGACATGATCATATAGGTTTTTACCGTTATAAGTGAGTATATGATGAATAATAAAGTCAAAAATTAGACTACTTTTGAGTATACTTATCTAAATATTACACAAAATATATAAATTCTATTAATGCGTGAATCCAACGATTTCGAGTTAAAAATGATACTTGGCAACAGTTCATGATTATTCTTTATGTACTCAACTGGTCCAGCCAGCTTTGATATATATATATATATATAAATATATGTTCATATTTAGAATAGCTCTTATTCTGTATGCATAATTAACTTCAAGCCAAGTCCATCTTTAACTAGTATATGGAAAATCTTTGGTTTTGGCAAGGTATTACTCTATACTTAACACATTTCTTTGAACAAGATGTTAAGCGAGTAAGATCTTGTTTAGCCTAGACATTTGCTATTCAAGGAACAATTTTTAACGAAATAATTTAGATATGATTTTTTGATGAAAAATCAAATAATAAAAATGATCTTTTTATCTTTCTTTCTGAAACTCAGCGTGAAATACTCACGTCTCATTTAAAAAACTTTCAAATGAGTTCTGTATGACATAAATTTCAAGTAATATTCAGTCAATATATATTATTTAAAACAAAAAGAAGAAAGATGATTCTCCATAGCATCTGCCACATATCTTAAAGGTTTGTGGCCACATCTAGTTCATAGCAGTTTTGTCAGATCACCTGTCAATATATTATATCGTATAACTAGATATATTATGTGACTCTGATGTAGTATGTGTGTATTATATGTGATAAAGCCCCGTAATGTGGTGTATCACAGAACAATTGTAGTAGTTATCATATAACATATAATATTTATATCATAATAACCTTAAAAGATATATCAATGTTGACGAGCCATGATGGATGCATGAACAGTGATGAGAGAATGCAAGCGCTATAGTGATGCAGCGATAGATGACAACGGGTGGTAGGTGGTGGTAGTGGACAAGTGTTAAAGAAGGGAGAAAGGAGTTGCCGTAGCATCTCAAAGTGTGAAGAGGCGAACAACGGAGCCTGATAATGGAGATGATCAAGAATGTTGTACTTGAAATCAATGAATCATACTGGCGATGGCATTTTGACGTGCTCGTTTTGCTTCCTCTTCACTGATCCTCTGCTCGATCAAGTATTGAGCAGTGCCGATCGCATTGGGATAACCCGTGATAGTCACTATGCGGTTCCTGGTACCAGGGGCAAACATGCCTTTCTTAGAGATTTGTATGTTGGCGCCACTTAGGTGCTGAATCTCAATGAGGGCACGACCACCGGGTCCCAGAATAGCTCCCACTATAACCTCTGCAATTTCTATGTCTACTTTCTTGGTCTCCTTGTTGTTGGCATCTACCTGTGTAGGACTCTTACTTACAAGTGATAGCTGGTTAGTGCCCAGACCAAATGAATTGTTGTTCAGATGAATGGCACTGGCAGCAGTGTTGTTCTGTCTAAACGGATCAAAGGGCTCGTATCTGTCTATGGTAGTGCGTGGAGTAGGCGAAGTTGATCCCAGCGCAGGAACTGTTCCAATTGGCCCGAAGACTCCACCATTATTGTTAGAACCATTGGCTGTGGTAGCATTATCCATTGGATTTCCCAAATAACTCATACTCGATGGCATTCCGATACCCATCCCAAGGATATTGTACTTTGCAAGAGTAGCAATGGCGGTTAAAATTTCAGTGGCAGCAGGTTCTGAGAAACCTGTTGTACGCAAGTTCAACTTTATATGTTCTAAAAGTTGCGTTGTTACTGGAGCTGTACCAGCAGTGATAGCAGCACCTAAGTTCAAGTTAAGGCTCAGTCCAGCGCCATTCAAGAGACTTACTGTAAGAAATCAAATCATACAAATACATAATGTTTTTATTAATGACCCAATAACTATATACTAAAGTTTATAAAACCTGCATCATAAACATACAGAAATGAACATGAATATAAGAATAACAAAAATAGACTTATGATTAAAATATATTTTACCTGTATTAAGACCAGCAGTGGAAGTGTACGTAGGTGTGCTTGTTGGAGCCTGAGCATATGGACTGCCCGTAGGATTGTAATTGGCAACTGGGCCACTTACATCTGCGTAACTGACGTTCAAACATGTACCACTTTGTGGGTCATCTGCTACTTTTGCTAGGATCATCATTAATGCATTTCGATTATTGTCTTTATCACCTATTACAGTGATACATCGTTCTTGAAGCGATAAATCTTTAGCTTTCTGACTAATTTGCACGTAAGATCCAGATTCTTCTTTAATTTGTTTTATGTAATTACCACCTTTTCCAATAATCATCCCTGCAGTGCTGTTAGGGACTAAGATCTTTACCTAAAATATTATTAATTATTTAACAATTCTTTATATCGTACATATTTATATAGTACAACACTTTATATCGCATTATATTTAGAAAGATTAATTATCATACCATTAAATCTTACCTGTTTGTCTCTTTCTGCCATTGCTTTACCGGATTCAAAATCCACTGTGGTTTTAGATGTAAGATCTGGCTTTTCTCGTATTTTTTCCATAATGAACTCCATAACAGACATTATGGCTTCTACGCTACCAGTTATTAAACATACTCTTTCGGTAGTGCCTAGAATAAAATAATTTAATAATAACAATCAAAGTTTTATAAGCAAATAGAAAATTATAATACTAATGATATAGCATTAAAAAGACAAAGATATAGATATAAAGTATTACCTGGATAAAAGTCATGCGATTTAGACATTTTGACTCTTGCCATTGAATCCTTTTGAAGCTGAGCGATGGTTTCACCACCTTTACCAATAATGGCTCCGGCAGCCACACCGGGTACCAATACTTTAAGATGATACGTTCCATCTCCTCCTACAAATATTCCATAACAATTTCTGCACAACAATACGTCATTGTATTCGATTAAAAACCTATGTAATGCCTACCTATACAATATCTATACACATTTAAATCAAAATATTATGAAAGCTAAATAAAAAATAATTGCATAAAAGCAGTGAATTAGTTATACCAAATAAATGACCTAGAATTAATCTATTGCCAAAGAATTCCAAACAAGATCTATAAAATAAAGTATATTATAATGAATGGTCGTGTTAATGATATAATCATCGGATAAAAGTCACGGGAAGAGTAGACAAAATTCGATATTGTTGGCGCGAATAATAATTTTGACAGAAGAGAGAAAGAGAGGGAAAGAGGGGGGGGTGCAAAAAGAAGAAGAAGGAGAAAAAGAATCACTAGTTCGATACATAGTCGAAAACATACCGTATATTATCGCAATAGAGAAGACGAAAGGGGTGACGTTGATTGTTCGCGATAAGAAAGACGAAAATGTGTGAGGGTAAGAACGTAAAGGTAGTAAATAAGGAAGCTAAGGTTTAAAGGTAAAGATATAACTCGGAAGAACGCAGTGGGGGATCGGTAGGAAGTTTCGATGTGCTGAAGGCAAACAGCTGTTTGACAGATGGAAGCCCCGTGCGCTCGCTCGCTCGTTCGCTCGCCTCGCATCGACCTTGACCCGCAACCTCGGCGGTAGCGAAACGGTGCGTGGTGCCTGACAACTCACCGATACGCCACATCCTAGTAACTCTGCCAGTTTGCGTCTAATACGGTGGTGGTGGCCGTGTCTGTAGTGGAGGTTGTGGTAGTGGAGTAGTATAGTAGTAGTAGTGGTAGTGGTGGTGGTGGTGATGATGGCGGTGGCGACGATGACGACGACGACGACGACGACGACGATAGCAGCGGTAGCAGACAGCAACGACAACGTAGGCGTATAGACGATGGTTGATACGATGCCAAAAGCGAGAATATAGAAGAGGTGAAGAAGTAGAGGAAAAAAAGGATGTAGATACGATCTTGCGTTTTTTGCCAGAAAAAACTTAAACGATAATAACAACGTCACTGTACTATGGGAATCCAACGAAGACAATGGTAATTGACGAGAAGTATAGGTGGTTGATGACATAAAAATCGACATGCGAGTTGCGTCTGTCGAAGGTGTTGTTGTCGTCGTTTTCGCCGTTGTATAGTACCGATAGACGAGAAATAGAAAAAGAAAAATGAGGGAAAGGTAATAAGGAAAGAAGAGGAGGAAGAGGAGGAAGAGGAGGAGGAGGAATCGACTCTAGCGCGAGCAAAGTAACTGCTGCCACGAGATTGATGACGAAATTGCACAGTCACGAAACTGTCGAGCGTCTTGTCACGATCCTCCATTAACGCCGACGACGACGACGACGACGACGACAACAACAACCGTATCGCGATTGCTGTTGCTGCTACTTGGCCATCCACTCGCCCAACGAAAAACTCAACTCTCCTTCTTTTTTCTTCTTCGCGTGAATGAGAGAGAAAGAGAGAGAGAGAGAAAGAAAATCCCCAAACACATGCGACGCGTCGCCGCGCGGCGCACGACGTTGACGTTGACGTTGACGTTGGCTGATATGTCGACGTCGTCGTCTTCGTCGTCGTCGTCGTTGGTGGTTTCTATTAGTTCGATTTAACCCAACAACACCATCACGTAATAAATCGGATAGATAAAATGCGCGCGTGAAAAAGAAAAAAGAAATATAGAGATAGAGATAGATAGATAGAGAAAGAGAGAGAGAGAGAGAGAGAGAGAGAGAGGGAGGGAGAACGAGTAGAAAATGATACGTGGCATGAAAGGATGCGCAAATCGCTTTGCACCGTCATTGTACCGCGTTTTAGCCTCGATCTATGAGAAGACATTAGCTGATCGTTTACAGTCAAAACCGAATAGGAATGGTGGATCGTTCGGTTGAGCTGTATGATGCGCAACCAGGATTTTAGCGATCGTCGTTCAAGCGTATTAAAGAACGAGCGTACATAAGAGGAGAGAGGGGGAGAAGGGAGAGGGAGAGAGACAGAAGGAGCGCGCGAGGTGATCGCTGTGTCAACAGCAGTAACCATTAAACAAAATTGTCAAAGGCGCGCGTAAAAAGGAAAAAAGAGAAAGAGAGAGAGATAGAGGAAGATGAACGTGATGAATTAATCGAAAGGGGAGAAACAAGGAAGAAGGAAATGCATTAATGTTTAGATGCATGGATGTTGGTGCATGGAGATGGGTGGATGGTCGAAGGAGAAGGAGAGAGAGAAAGGGGGGAAAGAGAGAGAGAGAGAGTGAGAAAGAGAAGATAACGAAGAGTGGGGAGAGGAGAGAAGAATCGTGCGTGCGACCACCGAGTTAGAATGCGCATGAAAAAAGATGTTGGTATGAAAGAATCGTCACGGAGGACGTTCGATGGGATTACCTGATCCATAGTGGGACCTTTTTGTCGCACCATCCTCCGCGTCGCAGTCGAGGGGTCGCTTTCTGGAGTCTGGGATCTCCGGGGAGGGACACGTCTCCATTCCTGAATCGGCGGCCATCTTGATTTGGTCGTTCAGAGCGTAACGCAGCGCACACCCCAGGTTACTACACAGAGGCACACACACGCACGCACACCGAGTGGGAAAGATGGAGGGAGTAAGAGCGATAGAACGACAGGGACGGTGCTACTCTTCCAATCGCCAAGAGTAATGGAAGGAAGGAGCGAGAAAGAATGATGGAATATATATATATATATATATATGTATGAGCGATAAAATGAGAGAGCGAAAAGAGATAGGAGAGAGGAGAGAAACGTTGATTGACGAAGGGGGCCAGGTATCGTGGGTCGAACAACGAGCGGCCAGCCAAGGAGCTATCACCACTCACGATATTTTCTAATTAATCGAACCGAACGAATGTACGAACGGACGAAGGAACGTACGCACGAGCACGAACACGAGTTACTAATGGATTTTCTAGGTGACGGATGGCAGACGTATCGCGAACGTACGTACGCACGGTACGAACGAACGAACGACAAATGAAACGCTCGCGGGCTGCCGCGTCTCACTGGCAACTGCTCGCGCGCGGCTCCCTTGCCAACCAGCTGGTTTGATACCCGATGGTGCGTGCCTCGGTTCTCGCGTTCCTCTCTTAAGCGCGCGCACCATCTTTCTCTCTCTCTCTCTTTCTCTCTCTCTCACTCCCTCTCTTTTTCTATTTCCCTCTCTATACCGTAGAATCTGTCTTCCTCTTTCGCACTCTCATTTGCTACGACCCGAGCACCAGGGACGCCTCTCTCTTTCCCACCGTGCGGAGCTCGCGGGCTTTCTTCGTACAGGGCCGTAACACTCAGCTTCGATACCTTAACCTCTACGACGCTCTTTTGTGTTGAACAGTATCGTATCCTTTTCCTCCATCGAACGTCTATTTTTTCTTTCGATTTATTAAAGCAAAGGTCGCTCGCCACCATCGACAAGAAATTATCGTTAGACGATATATCTCGCATTCATTATAAAAGAGTCAAATGCGTCGATGCCGGAAAAACACTGGATCGTGTTGGTAAGAACTCAAAAGTAGGTCATCGGTCTAGGAACGAAACAGCGAATGAGATGACCTAATAAAATTTAGAATAATCGAATGTCACACGATCAGTGATTAAACAAATCGACCGATCTCGATGGCGATTATTTCCCTTCTCTTTCGACATCCCGTTCCCTTCTCATTTAGTTACTTGAGTTTTAAATGCGTCATAGCGGGAAATTCGTATTTATACAAACGAAACGAATTTCAGTCATCTTGCGTCGTAAGGTGGAATACAACGTGAGTCACTACAATGTTTTTATTTTTGCTCTACTTTTCGATCTCGTTTGATTTGAGCATCGATTTTGTAATGAAAAAAATATTTTATAAATATTTTACGGAAAAGAAATATATATAAGTTCATATATTTTTAATTTGATGTCGAATAAGTTAAAAGTTATTTTTCTTGAGTATTGGCATTCTTGTAGATGCACATAAATAAATAAATAAAAATTAATTCAGAGGACACAGGTAATGAATTAGCTATAAACATTTGTATTCTTAATTTAGAATATTACAATACGAAATATGAATTTTTACACATACACGATTATATATTTTGTATGTTAAATAAATGTTCACGCTTGTTAAGTATATAGAGTTGCATACATTTTTTTTCCGGCGGATCAATTCGTATGAACGGTCATGTAAGTTAATGATGCGTTACGTGGCAAAGGTTTAAAGACAAACGGTTAAAAGAATAAAGAGCATGTTCACTTTTAAAAAACATTTCGGAGTATAATATATTGCGATTGATCTTTCAATTGATTGCACAACGACTTGTGATAAATATTAAATATATGTACATATGCATATATATATATATATAATGCACGTAAATAAAGAGTAGAAAGAAATAGGGAGGGAGGAAAGAGAAAGAAAGAGAGAGAGAGAGAGAAAAGGAGGAAGAGACTTCGTAACTATCTGCATCTGCATTTGCATTTCCGATAGCTTAGGCCTTACAAGGTCATTAGTGTCATTCTAACGACATCAAGTAGCTTCCTATATCGAAGATCGCACGCGCTTTATAGACGATGATTTTATATCGAGCATTTCTTCAATCGTTCTTCTATTCAACTATCTTTTTATTGCCACTGACATTCGTTGGTATCTTGTAAGAGATTAAGGCACGATAGTTAAACGTTGCAATATTGAGTACGTTGGTACTGCAAGTTTGCCTTCCAATCATGCTGCTGCAGTAATAACAACAACGACTATTCTTGAAATATCGTACCAAAGTTCCGTTGTACATAGGAAAGTACGTCGTGACTATTATCAATGTTTTAGTAAATACCGATTAACGGGAAAATTACTATAGATTGTGGACTATACTTTGGTTATCTCTTAACAGTCCTATTAGCATACAAAGTACAATAGCTTCAAAATATACAATTTATATAATAATATTCGACTTAAAAAAATGTTTTCTAATATTATAATAAAAAATTAATATCGTTATTAGGTAAATACTTTTGAAATACACCGATAAAACTTATTGGGGAAGTTATTTACACAGATGTACAAATAGTTTTATCGTTTAAATCATTGCGAAAACCTAATAACATATTTTTAATAATGTTTATATTCTATAATGCTGGTTACAAAAGAATGACATTGAAACAATTAAACGTATTTATTATTTGTAGCAATTAATACGGTGCCTTGATGTTAAATTCATTGCATCAAAATCGCTAACATTGTTTGTCAAGGAAAATATAAAAACTAAATACTAAATTCGTTAAAAAAGCACCAAGTTAATTGTTATATCTAACATCTGGATACATAACATAAACAGTAAAGCAAATAGAGCAACACCGAGTCTCTCTATTCCAAGTTTATAAATTGTTTAAAAAGTTAATTTTAAATATTAAAAAAAAAACTAAAAAATAATATTTGAAAAAGTAGCGACTTAGACGAAGGCGATGCAGGCTAATGCGTCATTTCCTAACATTGATTACGCGCACGTTCCGATTCGACGGGATCCTAGTGTAGGGAAGGGACATCATTGACTTTAGTCACTGCTAAACGGACCTTTTTTAACGTTGAACCGGAGGGTTGTCTTATAACGCAAGCATATAAATTGTTTTATAATAGATTACTATAGTAATAGAATAGTCTTTTAAGTTATTCATTACTTAATCGTTTTTAATGAGTTAGAAAGAAGAGCTGACAAATTTTTGACAAAGATTGGTAAAATTAGTTAGAACCATTCTAATCGCAATATAAATATACTATTTGATAAGAAAGTACAACGAGGATAATGATGACAACCTACGCACGTTATCATATAAAAAGATTTTTATTAGTTAGACTACTAGATAAAAAAAAACAGAATTATCTTTAATGAATATCAAAGTCCAGGGAGCAGCAGTGTCGTCGTCGTTATCGCCGTAGTCGTGGTCGTGGTCGTGATCGTGGTCGTGGTGAAAAGTCAAGAGAGAAAATGAACAACACTAATACGTAGATACATATTTTTGGGTCGCATTCGTGTGTCGCAATGCCGTTGCTCGTCTCGAGCGCAGCGCGACGATTGCGACGAATCGACTTGGAATAATCGACGGTTAACATACAGAGAAGAAAAAGAACAGCTTCATCGAGTTGACTGGGGTCTTGAAAGAACGACTCGCGACTGAGTTACCACGAATATCACGATTTAATCATTTGTAATAAACAAAAAGAAAACTTTATTTTCCTACAAAGCTTCGTTTTTATTTTCCCCAGTAAAATAAACTTCTATCTTTGTTGTGTTAATTGTCTTGTCGAAATACATATACGCGTGTTCGTGTGCGAGCGTGTCATTAATAATTTATATAATTTCAACAACGAAAACAAACATATCGTTCTATATTGTTTCATAATACATTTTGTGAAAAAAATTGTCAAGAAAATAAAAAAAATGAATAAAAAAAACAAAGAAGGGATTAGCATTTGTAGGTGAACCAATCGCGGATAAACTCTTCCCTACAGTACGGATGCATCGTAAGTGCAACGTGCGCAACTACATGTTACAGCAGCGCGCATACACGAGTGCGCATGCGCACATAAAAGACTCACCTGCGCGATTAAATCCGTCCATCCAGAATCTTTTTCTCATCAGGGCCGATACTTTGGCGCTTTTCTCAAAAGACTTGTATCATTCTTCTTAACTTCGCTTATTTGATTGGTGCCACTTTATTAATTACGTATAAAGCGTTTTTATTTCCTCCTTTTCTTCGCGTAAATTACGAGTTTGTATTTATAAATGTGATTCGATGTTTTCCTTATCGAAAAATAATACTTTTCTATTATTCACCGGAAGTTATGTAATGCGACGAACTCACAAGCCGCGGCCCAAGCGAAAAATCAAGGGTTAAAATTTCACTTTATATAATTATACACATTGGAATAGAAAATAAACCGAGAAGTAAGAAGGTAGTAGGGGAGAAAAGAAAGAAAAAAAGAAATCCTTTGGCCTTTTGAATTCACGTACACGCTTGGCTAATAAACTTGGAATTTTTCCTCCGTTACGTCACATATTCCAGTATTAGTAGTACTAGTCGTGGTAGTAGTAGTAGTAGTAGTAGTACTAGTAGTAGTAGTAGTACATACTTGTATTCATGAAGCGAGCATCTCTAAATACACGCGTGTATACGTGTAAGAAAGATGTGACTACACCGAACCGGTTTTAATGTATGACAAATATTCAATTTTGATTATGCTTTAATGTATATTCCTTTTGACTTAGAAATAAAATAAAAGTGCGATTACATTATCCTTGATCTATTAGAAATCGTTCTTAAGGTTTTAGAATCTCCTACATATTCCATTTTAGATTAAAACTATACTACAAAGCGATACATTTATATATTTATATATATGTATATATAAATATATTGCACGTGAACGTGCACGTGTATTGTGTGGCACGTACAACAAATACGTTCGAATGCATATTCCAAGGCCGTTGGACGCTCTGACATACTGTAGCAAAGTTAGTGCAGTATCCATAAAATCTCGGAGCTGTGTGTCCTTCATTACAAATTATCTCGACGTTCTAGTACCGACAAAAGGAGACTGCATTTATAGAAATGTTCTTATTGCGTTGCGATTTTTCTCTCTTTATCTCATTTCTTTTTCTTACTATCATTCACTGTTTTCTTAAAGATAAACAGTAAATTATTGTAAATACATATAACATCTTTTTACTTTAGGAAAAGAACATATCGTTGGGTACGCTCCTGCGGAAGTTATACCCAAATCAATTTTGACCTATATACGGTGCAGCAGCAGCACCAGCAGCAGTGCCCCTGTCGATTACAGCTTGGCTCGACTTTGAATCACTTTTCTGATCAAATTTAATAATGTTAACGGGATTGCAAATATCTAAATGACGTCTTTTGATTGTTGCTCAATACGAGACGAAACTTGTCATGTTTTAAATGAACTAATGTACTAATGTAGAATATCGATATCATTTTCTCACACTCTTTCTTTGTGTCTCTGTCTCTCACTCTCTCTTATTCTTCTTATTCTTTGTTAGGACATATGTGTGGTATATATATAAATGTGTGTGTGTTTGCGTGTGTGCATGTATGTATGTATTTAGAACACTGTGTGATTCCTTGCTTCACCGTTCTCGTTTTTCTCAGCTGACCTTAATTTAGTCTAGGGTGTTTAAAGATCGACGATGCGCTATGTTTTTTTCTTTTTTACTGTAATTTTTTTTATTAAATTTTTCTATTTTCATCATATATATAAGATCTTTTTTCTTTTTAATTTTAATTATATCGCGATTTAACTAGGAAAAAAATACACAATTATCGCGAGAGGAAGAAAAAAGAGAAGAGAGGAGAGATGAGAGGAAGATGATGAAGTGGAAGAATGTTTGCGTTCTTATACCTATATTATGCGTTTAACACGTAATGAATCTTTAAGCCGTGTCACACCCTTAAATAGCTGGCATACATAAAATACGATAATCTCGTAATATTAGTATAATAAATAATACTTAGCGTTTGAACCGATATCGCGTAATTTGAAAAAAATAATTGTCTATCTTGTCTCTAGAGCGTGTTTAAATAACTTTCAAATATACGACCAGCTTCTATTTTATGTAAATAAAATTTATCTGAAGATCTCAATAGTCTGTTATACTTTATTTTGAGAATTAACCTTTATAACGTGATAATCGATTAATAAGATTTTGATAATTATTTATGTCCATATATCTGCTTTACTTATTCTTCCGTATAAAATTTAACATTTATATGTATATGTATATGTATATATATTATAAAATCAGTATTATATTATATCCTTGTTTGTAAAAGAAAAAAGAAAAAGTAAATTATTGTAATTTTTTTTCCTTTTTTAGCGATGATGCAGTGTCGTTTCAAATAAATCTTACTCATAAAATTTTATTTACATACTTAAATATAATTAAGTAATCACATTGTTATTGTGAAAATAGACGTAAGGAGTTGTGTAAGAAATTTATATATAAAATATATATGTATTAATATATATTTTATCGGATAGTTTACATTTGCTGAAAAAAAGAATTCGTATTAATATTTTTTTGCGCCCTTTTTCGAACAACATGAACCTAGTCACGTTTAGTTTTATTTATTTCGCGCATGCGCACCGATAACAAATGTTTCAAAATGTCCTTCCGGCGTAAGTAGTGGTTTTTATGTTTGTAATTTTCCTTGGTTAGTGGTATGTATTATTAAGCGATATCATTAAAAGTATAATAATATTAATATAATAGTGGTGAGAATATATAGATCGTGTGAATGTGAAATTTATTATATACAAGATATAATATGTATTTATTAAAATTTTTGATAACTAATAAATGTGAAATAACCTTTACAGATTATCTACAGAAACAGAATTATCTGTGATAGCATATTAGTGCGTGGTACATATCGAAGAGATACTAATTACGTAAGGAAAATTTATAAGAAATATAGATACGTAATGAAATATTTTAACTAGTAGAGTTTAAACAAAGAAACTATCTTTATTCTTATTATAATGAATAGACATGAGAATGATGTAAATGTGAATGTATTATTTTTTGCCAAAGCACGAGAATTAACAGGATTTAAGAAAACTAGAATTGTTATCAGGAGAAATATATCTTATGAAGAACTATTTGATATATTAATATCGACATATAGTTTGCATAAAATAAGCAAAACACTGATCTTAGCTGTGAACGGGGAATTTGTTAATGAAAATTCTCCTTTAAACTTATTGGATGAAAACGAAATTGCTATTATTCCACCACTAAGCGGAGGTATTTTTATAATTAATTATTTGCAACAGTTTGAATACCATTAACATATAAAATCAAAATTTCCTTTCGCTTTTAGGTTAAAATGGATACTGGAAAAAATTTTGTTCAGTTGGAGCAGGAAGTATTAAATTTTCAAGAAATATATAATTTAATAGTATCACCTAAATGCGGTGCAATATCTTCTTTTGTAGGAATTACACGTGATAATTGTGACAATAAAAAGGTATGTTATTTTCTTTTTAATATTTATATGATACATATTGCAATCAAAGTTAAGTGGCCGATTTGTGTCTCAGGTTACTAAATTAGAATATGAAGCTTATGAACCTATGGCATTGAAAGAAATGAATAATATATGTGACAAAATACGTTTACAATGGAATATTGAAAATATTGCAATATATCATCGTCTTGGTGAAGTACCAGTGACAGAAGCTAGTGTTATTATAATAGTTTCGTCTCCTCATAGACAAGATTCCCTTAAAGCTGTAGATTATGCTATTAATTCATTGAAAGCTTCTGTTCCAATATGGAAGAAAGAGGTATACGATACCGGAGAAACTAATTGGAAGGAAAATAAAGAATGTAAATGGTCAAATATTAAATAATCTTTTAATGTTAACATATTTTTATATATTTCAATATTTGTAAAATATTTTATAATGAGATATGTATACTTCTATTTAGTACAATTTTAATGAAATATTTTTTCTTATAGTGAGATGGGAATTATTTGTTGCTAAGGTGAAACGGGTATTAGTATAGTAATAGTATTAGTATATTAATATTATTTTTATATTATACATATTTCATAATAAATATTTGATATTGGGTGTATAAAGTATTATCTTTTATAAATATTTACAAATACATTTATATATGTTCAACGTTATTAATTATTTGAGATATATTTAATAAATATGTTATGCCAAAAGTTAGTGTACATTTTTTTGTGTAATTAATAATAAGAAAACAAATGAATTATCAAGGAATTGAATGACTAATGTATGATTTATCTTCTTATAGCTACTATCTCCAAATTATCACTTTCTGAAGATACTAATAATGATAAAGTAGAAAATTTGAAGGATTCGCTTAAAAATTCATGTTCGAATGAAAAAGATTCTTTTGAAGACGTAAAAGTTCCAATCGAAGAACCTGCTTTAGATGATCATAATCTTGTACAAATCAAAGCGAACTCAAATGAACTTAAACATAGAATAGAATCTTTTATTGAAAGAAAGCGTCAACAAGTAAATTTAGTAAACATACAAGAATTTTGTTGTAACAGGTTGGCATATGATAGAATGTTACATTAAAATTAATTAAAATGTATCAATGTATTTTTGAATATTATAAATTGAAATTTTATTTATATTTTAGAGAACAATATGATGAGAAACAAGATTCTTGTGCAAGAGTGGATGCTATTTTGATTAGAAGAAAAGATTCGAAAAGTCATGTTAAAGGTAAAATAAATGAATGTGTTTTAGGGGGAAGAAATAATTATTGTTAATTTATATATATATGTTTTTAGTGCATAGAGTATTAAATTCATGGGGACCTCAAACAGTTGACCGATCACGTTTGCACAATGCCAATAATCATACGACAAACCAACAAGATAGTAACAATTGCTCTTCGGTATTGGATGACCGTATAACTAACGCTGAAAAAATGTTAGGCATAATAAAACCAGTTCCTCGAGACGTTTATGAAAGATTAAAAAATATCGAGGATAGGATATTGTTTTTGGAAGGAGTATCTCCTGAGTATAAAAATTTGTGGGTAAGTAATTAAAATAAATGATGTATAATGATTGAATATTAGGTGATCTAAATTATATTACATGATTATAGATAGGAGAAGATACGAACAATTTTACAAGCGATATGAAACCATTTAGAAAAAGGGTAAATCACTCTTATTTCGTATATATTTTTTGTATACATACACACATTAATTTTTATTAAATTACATTAATAATATATGATTACAGACATATTCTACGGCAGAACTCGATTCGAAATTACATGAATTAGAAAATAAGTATGCAAAAACGATGAAGTATAATTGATAAGATAATTTAATTATATACATATATACAAAATAAATTGTAATTTTGTTTTTAAATAAGACATTTGATATCTTTATAAAAAAATAAAAACAATAAAATATAACATTATTATTTATTATTTAAAAATAGATAATACAAGATTAAGAATTTGTATTTTAATAAATTAAAATTCGCGCCAATTTGAAAATGTTGAGCGCGTCACCTAACGTCACGTCGCGCACTTTAGTTCATCGTTCGGCTAACAGAGGCAGTCTTCGTCGCGCTACCATACGGTATGGCCGTAGTTCGTCCAAGTTTTTACCTCCTCCCGAAATAATCCGAAGTGAAACGTTCATAAGGGATGCATCCACCGTACGGGAATTAGAACAATTTTGGTGTGTTACGGGTCAGCAGTTACGTGGTGAGTTTTAAGATCGAGTCTTATGTTTGTTACTGTTTTTTTTAATTTTTTTTTTTATTTCGGACATTCATCGAACAAAAGAAGAGAAAAGCACGCGGATAGCACGTCATTTGACATCTGAATATGACAGACAACCCCCCATTCTTACCCTCAAAGGATTGATGAACATTTGTCAAATGATATGGAAATTTATTTTCTTGCAATTATATCTTATCGTCAATCGTGTTTTAGTCGTTTAATTTTTTTAAAAATCTCTGACGAATTGGTACTTTTTCTGTCAGGATGACTGCAGAATGATAAACTCGAAAGACAGAACGTTAAGAATATTTTTACAATAGGATTAAATTGTTGTCTTTTAGCCAATTTCAATATTTTACTTTTGTTTTTTTTTCTTCTTCTTCTTTTAGCAACTAGTCAGGTATCAACGTATAATTGTCTACCTTATTTATATTTTAAAGATCACAGATTTATCTCAAATGAAAAACACACACGTACACGAGATATTCCTGTTTCAATAACATATATAACGCTATTTCCAAATATACATACATACACGTAGATAGTTATACTGAAGGATTAGGGAGCACATTTTTTTACACGTACTCTAATTCTACCTTATATTTATTTACTCGAATGAACACACATTCACGTTCCAGTTACGACTCCCGCGTCCTGTTTTCCTCGAACACCTCTCTAACGAACACGACTTTGGAAGCTTTTTATTATTTGGCAGTGCTCAAAATATATATCTATATAAAACGCGGATAGAGGAAATAGATATTTGTATTATCCGAGAATATTTGGCGCCTCTCGCGTATATATCTCGTCAAATTTTTTTTTTATTTTCTAACATATAAATAAACTTTTATTCTTTTCATTTACGTAAACGACAATAAAATACTCTCGCAACCGGGAAGTGATGCAATCGATCTTTCTTTTTTAACCGTCGTTTAAAAAATCGAACAAACAAATTAGAAGAATCTTTTGTCAGATGATAATTTATTTTGTTGCTATTTTGTTATTTAGTAAAATCGATTTGAAATCTATGAATAGATCAAACGATCGTATAACTCGTCATTGCATTACGTTTCCAAGTGTTTTATTTGTGAACATCACGTGGATTCTTCTCGTCAGAATCTAGCAGCTTTTAACATCGTAAGTTTGAACCTATTGATGTTACTCGAATGTTAGGATAACGAACTCTTGTTTCAATTTACGATCGTGATTTAGTAGCTGCTTTCCCAAACGAGGAAATCACGGGCTGATTCATTTCAGTACTCACGAGAGATACGATTAAATAAAATGAAAAAAAAAAAGAGAAGGAGATTATCATCGTTTAATCATTATGTACATACAAATATACCTTTTACAGGTTTATGAATATTTTTATTAATTTTTTTCTTTTTTTTTTTTTATAAATTCCTGTAATCGAATTATTTAATTCTTTACGCTCAACTCGAAGGTTTTGAAACAAAGTTATTTTTTTATATTTCCGATTCTCGTTAAATAATAATAATTTCATTTATTCTTCTAAAAGATTACAAATTAAATCTTTCTAGAAACGTATTATGTAAAGTAATTGATAATGTGAGTAAAAAGAATCATTATAGAGTTTAAAGGGTTCAAAACAAATGTTAGTTCAAGCATCGTAACCAATTTCCCGCGTAATTTTCAAACACGATCGACAATTGACCAATCGTATCGTTTTTTATCAATTTAGCGTGAAAAAATATAAATTTAAAATTTCCTTTTTTTTTTCTTTCTTTCCCCTCTCTTTCGAAGGAAATTTTATTGTCGCGACAATGATGGAAAGTTATGAGGTGTACTGAGAGAGAGAGAGAGAGAGAGAGAGAGAGAGAGAGCTCGTTTATGAATGCTTCCAGTTTTCAAAGAAAATTGTGTCTTTTCTTTTTAAGCATTAGAACATGAAAAGAGAAAAGAAAATAAAAGAAAAAAAAGTAAAACAAAAAAAGTTAAACATGAATTTTTTATCGGTGGTTAGAATTTATTTCGTTCAAGTCGATGAAACATATTCTTGTTAAAAATTTTCAAACTTTAATGGATTTAATATTTTTAAAACAACCGATCGATGATTTATTTTTTTTTTTAGTTAGTTATCTGTAATTATTAAAAAAAAAGTAACACAACGTACATCTTGTGCATAGAAAATTAATTCTGAAGTATAAGGAAAAAAAATGCCATAATGGTGACATAAGACTAAAGTTGATTGTAATGCATTTTGATTGGCTAGTATGTTTCGATTTACATCGATAATATTCAATGAGAATCCGATTAAATCTTACACGTCACAATTTTTCTTTATTCTTTTTTTTTTCTTGTTCTTATTTTTCCGATGTTTACAGAATTAATTTTTCAAGGTTTATACAATGCACGCGAGCACGCATATTTGTATCATTTTACATTTGTATCTTTGATAATTTTTTTATAACGTCATAGTAATAGCAAACAAAGGTACGATCTCTCGGGTTCTTTTTATTATGTTTTTTTATTCTCTTTCTTTTTTATGCTTCGTGTATGTTTTTCTTTTTATTATCTATTAAGAGAAGTAAATGTATGCGTTTCTTGTAAAATGTTGCAAGTTGTTAGACGCTTTCTCTTAATTACGTTACTCATTAGTTCATTATTGCAATAAACATTAATTTCTTTGGTAATCATAAAAGAGAATCTTAATAATTACGATTCCTCTGTGGATGATACATACCAAATCAAAATCTTGCATTTGAAAAAAGAATTTATTTGAATTCGTATGCACGTTAAATAAAAAAATGCAACTTCGTGGAATAATATGCATTTTACGTAGAATAAGAATGATATATATATATATATATATAAACATATACGTATACATCAGATTATCTAAACAAGAAATCGTTCCGAACACTTCAAATGAAGTTGGGCAATAGAGAATAAACATGAAAGAAAGAAAATAACAAGGAAGGATGAAGGGAAGAAAGGGAGGAAGGGAGGAAGGAAGGAAGGAAGGAAGGGTGATTGTAAAATCAGCCCTCTTTTTCGCATTTAATAACAGCTGCGCGTTAAAAGACTATATTGGATACACAATTATTAAATCGATAATTTTTTCGGCGTTACAGGAAATACTATTTCATCATATATATGTACATCGTATACGTATACATAAAATGCAATAGATTTGTCGTTTCCTTCTTAAAATTGTCGTCGTTGTCATCGTCATCATTGTCGTCGTCGTCGTTGTCGTCACCGTCGCGTCTGCATGAGTACAAAGTATATACGATCGTCTCGAGTACACGAGCTTGAAACTCACTTTTAAAACTAGCAGGGGTTAGCTAAAAGAAAAAGAAAGAGATAGAGAGAGAGAGAGAGAGAGAGAGAAAGGGAGAGAACAATTAAAACAAGAATTACAAAATCTCTAACAATTTTTAATTGATTTGTTTAATAATTATTTGAATAACAATGATGACTTAAACTAATAAATTTATTTCTATTTTTTTTAATTTAGTATTTATCAGGGAAGAGGCAAACACTGTTATCACATTAAAATGCAATTTATTTAATATTAGTAGTATTATTGTTATGTTACTGATAAAATATTGTTGTAGAATAAATTTTTTGAGTATAATATATTAAAATCATATTTTCGTATTAAAATACGTTCTTGTTTTGTTCAATATAATTTTCTTTTTATATCCCAACGTTTAACGATCGATAATGAGGTTCAGCACTAGTATTAACACACATTTCTTAATTTTTCTATTTTTTTTTTCAATATATTTTATTATAAATATTTATTGAACATATCGATTGTAATAAAATTATTAAAAAGAAAAAATTACCTGTCAAAAAAATATTAAATTACTTGGGAAGTTTAGAACAAACTTTCCTGTAACAACCCCCACATAAACAACCCCTAAAAAAGAGAACACGTATAAGCAAAATAAGTAAAGTCTAAAAAAAACATGGAGTATCTATAATCGCAAGGTGTCTTATTTACGAACACAAGGTAAGAAACATAATAGAGGGGGGGAGGGGAGAGTAGGAGAGGTGGAGGGTAGAAAAAAGAAAGATTTAAGTAATTTCCAAAGTAGTATTCTCCAAGATTCAAGATCGTGTTAAGTGCACGACACTGTTATTAATTTCATCGACCCATTTTCCACCCGCGCACGGATACACCGTTGTTGAGTCTCTTATGTTAGTGTCCGGCGACCTTGTCCGAGTAACTTGCCGATTATGTCGACTCTATGCACTTACATATACGACAGGTGTGTGTTTATGCCACTTTCCTTCATCTCCTTCTCCTCTTCCTCCTCTTTCTTCTCCTCCTTCTTCTCCACCTTTTCTTTTATCTCACTCTTCTCGTCGTCTATTCACGTGATATGTTGTTTTAAAATACTACTAGGACGATATGTGCCAAGTAGTAATTTAAATGAACGTTTTTTTTCCAAACTAATCTCATTCGTGATTTTATTCACCTGATCTCTCAAATGATTGAGCTTGAGTCGTATCTTCCAACGATCTTTCAGATTACTGTAAATAATTTTTATTCTCGCCAATCTATTGGTTACAGTGATTTAATAGGTAGGTTTAGGTATTACTTGGATAATAATATGAGTTACTTGATAATGACCTAAGTACAAAAGAAATTGTAATGCACAAAATTTATTTCATGATTTATCTTGTAATATTAATAATTTTAAAATATTTTGAGAGGAAAGTAATTAAAAAAAAGTTGTTTTTTTATTTATTAAATATTATTTTTATATTTATATTAAAATTTTTACTTTATATAAAATTTATATAAATTTATATTTTTATTTTATAATAAAATATATTATAAATATATTTTATAAATTATATTTATATATATTAATAATATATAAATAAAAAATATTTAAAATTTTATAATATAAAAATTTAATAAATATTATATAATAATAAAATATTATAATAATTATTATAATAATAATATAATTAATAATAATTATATGTAATATAATTAAGAT